AATACATATAGCCAAGATCCAACACACTTTGCAAACCATACTTCAAATATTTTCAGGCTTACAAGTTAGATCAAGTCTTAGTTTCAAACAAAAGCATTTATTTCTACAGCTGCAGCATCTGGTATCCATGTCACATATGGATACCATTAGTTACTAAACATGTGAACTTACCACAAATCAAGTACTGTAATGTACTAAATAGAATTTTAAGTTCACATTAACATTAACAAAAGTCACAGAAAACAAACACCTTGTTTCCTCTCAATGAGGAACAGAAAACAAAATATGAAGTAACATATCCAAACCAAACATGAGAACCAAGAAAGTGGCTGGCATCAAAGCAGATATATTGTAGGTACTGACTTCAGTTATGTTTATGTCATTCATCTTTCCTGTAGGCAATAACACACACACAAAGGCAGTATCTTTAAAAATAGTCATTTTTACTGTGCAAAACTACATGTCATCTAGTATAACAATAAAACAAATTAAAAATTTTATAAACTGCAGTAAAACAATAACAGAGATTGAAACTTTACTGTTTTATGACTTATATAACCATAGTTATAACAAAGTCAAGTTAATGTGAAACTACAGCCAGCAAAAACTGAAAATTTATTTCCTATAGATACTTCCCTCCGATTACAAGATTAGCTATTCTTGTCCAGTGTTGCCTTCCATATGCTAATTTTGTCTTTATGAATGCCACAAGCCTTCTGCTCCTCCCTATTGGAATCAAATGATTTCAATATGTCTCTCATGTAAATCATAATGCATCACTTCTCCACCAATAGGAGCATGACATACGTGATGCATGTGATTCCCTCTACACGCTTCTACCAAACTACCACTTCGAGGTGTAGCAGAAGATATAAGCACCGGAGAAAAGTGGGAAGGAAGGGTGAAAAGTGTGAGTGGAGGGAAGTAGTTATTGGAAATACATTTTCAGTATAGGAATATTATAACTTCCAATACAGTACTTCCTTCTGCTCACAAGACTAGCTAGAATCCCACATTGATTAGGTGGCTGGACTGGTGCGAGGGAATAACAAAAGTAACCCCTGAAAGCATCTGAAGGATACCCCTGGAAATGAGAGTCAGATCCAAAGATCTGATGAGAGGAACCATGCCACTTCTGAAACAGGTATACTCTTCACCCATCCGTGAAATGTGTAGTAGATAAGGGCAGAAAAATAGAGAAGCACATCCAAGTGGAAAAGAACTGTGGCAGGATTGTGATCCTAACCATGTAAATATATATGTAACTCAATCCCACAAAGTATAAAAATGGGTAAAACAGTGGATGTGCCCCTAGGTGTATAGTGGCTAGAGCATGATGGACCGTACTCGGTAAGTCAACTACATCCAAAACCCATGCAGCTGGGAACCGACATTCACGCAGGGGTAGGATGAGAACCATACCATCTTTACCTTAAGTTCAAGAGACTGGGGGGAATTCTAGAACCACTCCAACTGAGCATGACACGTTAGCTTTAATCTATCGATCCGTGGACCCAACATCTGGTATCGAAAGGATGTCTAAATAATATAAATCAATTCCCCCAACAGCGAAACTGACCAGAACCATCTGAAAAGCAATAACATCTTCAGAGTAAGATACAATGAGGGATAGCAGAAATTACAGAACCAGAAAAATCCCCCTTACCTCCACTGTGACCCACAACACAGAAGGAGTATGATCGAGGGAGGAATATAGATAACCATAAACATGTGTGAAGACTTACGCTGATTGGTTATACTCTAAATCCAAAACTCAGCCACGGGCTACCAACATCCACACAGGGGTAGGATGAGGGCTCCTAATCAAAGGAGTGAACTGCAATTTGACATCTCACTCCTTTGTGAATGTATACTGCATATTGGAGGATATCATGTCACCTATACCCACAGAAAACCACCTCCCTACTCTGCACTGCATGGTTATAGCCATCTTTGGGTGGAGCCCATTCAGGACAGTTGACCAACCCAGCAGCTTAGAACTGAAAAGTAGTAAGGACTTTCATGCTCCACTAGAAGAAAGAGGGATGAAAACATAGTGGAGAGTCTGGAAGTAGGTCATCACCTGAGACAGTGCAAGGGGTGATCACGAAACCCTATGGAAGAGAGAGATCACCTGATGAAGTAATCAGATAGGAGAATAAACATAAAGGAATTTGTGGGACCAATTCTGACTGAAAGCATCGACAAATACAGGATGAGGTACCGGAGACCAAAAGAGTGGTAAATTGTGATTGAGGTATGTGGCAAATGCATCTACATGGAGAAAACCCCTCCAATTGCAAATTGGAAAACGAAATCAAAAGACCACTCCGTCAGATATTTTTGGTCAAATCAGGAAAGATGATTTGCTACAAGACTGAAAGCACCTGGAACATGACACACAAAGAGATGAATGTGGTGCATGTGGGCCCAATATTGTAAATTCAACTTTCAAAAACAGAGATATCTTGAATGGGTGCCTCCTTGGTGATTGATATGTGCTACCACCATAGAACTGTCTGGTGATAGGAAGGAAGTGTTTCAAAGCCTGACGGAACATGAGAAGATTGAGGATGTTGATAAGCAAAGATCTTTCATTTACAGACCAATGACCCTCGTGATTGACCAATGGACCCCAGCCCTGAAAATATGTAAATCCAGATGAAGAAGAGCTCGCTGAAGGGATCGCATTTGTGCACGACCAAGGGGTACTAGTGTCATTATTGAAGACCACATCCCCAAAACTGATACAACCTCATGAGCAGAAAGTGAGGGAGCTGAAAGGGCTGGAAAAACTAACAATTCCATGGAATGAAGTCACAGAGGAGAAGGTTGGGCCTGATTGTGATGAGTGTTGAAAAAAAAAAAGACACCCAAGTGGACAAGATATTGGCTAGGTTGGAGGAAGGACTTCTCCAATTTGATTAACCAGCCCACCCGAGCAGTCACTAGAAGGAACTGATGAGTATGGTTGGCTGACTCCAGTTCAGAATGAGCCAGAAGAAGCCAGTAACCTATATAATGGTGGAATAACAACCCTAGAACATGAAGATGGCAAGCAAAAGCTCTGACCACCTGACAGAAAACATAAGGAGTGGAAGCAAGACCAAAGGGGAGGGCACTAAACTGATAAACCACCCAGTGATGGATGAACTGAAGATACGGATGAGACCGTGGTGATATAGGGATGTGGAGATAAGCATTGGTGACATCCACCATAAGGTGAGAAATGACTCCATGGTTAAACAGGGCAGTTGAACAAAGCAATTGAGGTGTGAAAAATTGATGACAGGCCTCCAGTCCCCAGTTTTGTTGGGAACAACAAAAAGCCTGAAATAAAAACCCGGTGAAGGATGTAGAACAGGTCTGATAGCCTGCTGAGATAGTTGTTCCTGAATTGCTTCCCACAGACACTAGCTGGTCATGGGATCTTGAGGTGGAGGAAAGGAAATGGGTATAGGAGACATGGGAGGTGGGAGGAAAAACTGGATCGTGAATCCTTCTGATAAAACTTGAAGAACCCAATGAAGAAGAAAATTGGCAAGCTGATCTCCCTCTTGGTAGCCACTGATACTGTTGACAATGTGAGAGGGTCGCCGAAGAAAACGACAAGAAGCGGCACCTCGAGAAGAAGGAACAGGTAAGGGTTGGGAAAGGGGAGGGATGAGACAGGAAACAGTAACAGGTGCCATACTGGGTTGTGATTGAGACAAACAGGTATCAAGGTTGGAAAGAGTAGACTGTTGTTGTACTGATGCAAGTCGTGATTCCAAAGACTCTGGGATCGTGTCAAAGATGTATCACCACAGAAATGGGGCCATACATAAATCCTGAAGATAAGATAATGGTAAACGGATGTGAGGCAAGCCCACATCATGACATAGAAGGTCCCAGCAACAGAAAAACCGTGTATGTAAAGCCACAGCTGAAGATGGAAAATAGACCAATGTGGAGGAAGATAAGGGAGAGGATGTTCCCAGAAAACCCTTCAGGATTTTGGAAGAAAGCCTCAGAGAGGAGATGGATGGTAGAGAGATATTGAAAAGAGTTGTGAGGGTAAGATGAAGGCAGGAAAATTGGGCATGGGTCAGACTTGCATGAGATTTGGGAGCCACATTCCAAACAGGCAAAATGGGGTAAGACATGCTAATCCCGTCACTTAACTGTAAGGCAAGTTCGTCAGTATGTACCTGAGTATCTGGTACATCCTTTTTCACCAAATAGGAATGGGAAGATCAGTTATGTAGTAAAGAAGGATGCAGTTGATAGGAAATGGGGAAAAGTGATGAAACATTACATACCTGAGAAACAAAATCCAAAAAGACTGTATTAGGCCTAATTGACTCCTCAGGCAGGGCATGGGAAGGTATGGCAAAATCAGGAGGTGAAAATAAGCGATCCAAGTCCTCATCCACCACCTGAACAGGCTCATCTAGTTGGGGAGGAAGAGGGGTGAGGTCCAGAGACAGAGGTTGACCCATGCAACATTTGATCTCCTGGCAATTAAACACGGATAAATCTCCTGCAAGGTCACTCCACACCTGAGACATAGCATTAGTTGCAGGTGACCCCCAAAGTAGTAACATGAACTTCAGAATTCATAATGAAGAAGATTCAACCAATAATCGAAAGTATAAATACCACAACTGTAATAAACTGGGGTTAAAGTGAAGTCAAGAAACAATCTTAATAGAAACTAGAAGTGAAAATAAATGAAGACCACTTTCACTATTTAATGATGTTACAATGCACATGCTGATAACATCTCCAATTTCATTTCTATAAAAAAAAAAGAGATTTAAACTTTTTAGCAAGAATAATAATCATTTTCTGTCCAATCATCAGATCTCACTAATTTTAGGTACATTCTCTGTCAAATTATCTGATTTGGTTCATTCCAGATACACTTATTATTTGCTAAAATAAATCATGTTAAGAATGGGAAGTATCTTTATTACTAATTTAAGGTTGATCTAAGTTTCAGAACCCTTTTCTCATACCTGTAGAATTTTGTCATGAATTTTTAGTCCACTTTTCTCTGCTGGGCTGTCATCATAAACTTCTGTCACATAAATCCCCTGGTAACAAAAGCAAAACTACAGTGTCTAGTACAAAAGAATAGGTTAAATAGCTATAACAATCATCACAGATATTATCAGTTCTACACTCAAAACAGTTGCAAAAAATTTGTTTCCTTCATCAAAGCCCATTAACCCTCTCAGCATGAGAGAGTCGAAGAGCACATCATGACCCCTTTACAGAGTTAAATTTAAAATTTAAGCTACTTTATTATCAGTGTATTTTAATAAACTTGGCAATAAAATGTAGTTTATAGTTCAACTTTGAATACTATATAAGCTTTAATTTCTTAATTTTAAAAGGAAGTATTAATGTTCAATTTTCAAATTCTCCAAACCAAACTGCTCATTTCTACATTTTCTGCTATCCATGTATGGCTTGTATGCACCTTTCTGTAGAATTTCCTATTTATACTTTACATATACCAAGCTAAGCTGTAAATTTGAAGCAAGATAGAAGCCTGCTTTCAAAAACAGGCATAACTTCTCTCTGATGTTTGCTATTATATTATATGTAATCAAAATAAAATAAAATTTTCCTTAAATGACAGCTATAGGGTCTAAAGACCTTAGACTAAGCATAATTGAACATTTTGGAATCATTTACTTCATATGCCACTGTTGCATCTCTGCTTGACTGGGTATGAGAACTGTTCTAAGCCATTTCTATCTTAGTTAGAAAGCCAGATAAGTTTTAGGGCTTTCTATTTTATATGCATTGAAATATTTCTTAATCTAAACTAGATATCTGAATATAAAAAAAAATTCTTAGATCACATAATCATTACTTTGAGTTAGAGCTAAGCTTTAATGTCAACTTGGATCGTACAAGAATATAATCTGGAAAACATCTCAGATTTAAGTACTAAATTTATTTTTTTATGCATATTTTTGTTTATTGTTATAAAATTAACTAAAATGTAAAAAATAAGAAACTTATCGTAAGTAATATTAAGTGAAATAAGTAAACAAGATACTCGTAATCAATGATATATGTTGAGCACAAGCATGGTTGTGTAATTCGACATGTGTGCTGGAAACTACCATTCAAGCCAAGCTGTCCAGTGTAATGAATAGCTATTATCATAGTTGAAAGGGTCAAAAGTCAACTGTAAATAATAAAAAACTAAATGAAAAACTCTATTAGCTTTGACTTTGAAAATAAATATAAAATTGTCTATTACAATGTGCAGACATTCTAGAATGTAAAAAGGGTAAGTAATTCAGATTATTTTGGTGGGTACAGGACAAATTGACTTACTCTGTATAGTGTTAGGGCAGAGAAAATAACAAAGCATAGAATTTTACAGAAAAAACTTGTATTCATTTAGTACATTCTACAGATTAGGCAAATGAAATCTGAAAAGTATAGGTTGAAAAAAAAAAAGTATTTTTAACCTTAATATGAAAATCATCTTGTACTCAGACTATGGATACATGAATTCACAGACAGATCTTTAGTAAAATTATTGATTAAATTATTTAAAATCAGATTTGTTTTACAACATACTTGAATTTTTTACTAAAAGCCTCCGATATGTTGTGAAGATATACTTACAACTTTAAAAGTTATATATA